AAGAAAAAGAAAGAAAGAAAAAGAAGTATGTATTCATCTCAGATGCCCATTTTTGGATTGGGTCTTTAAATTTTGGGGCCCTAATTTTTGTTTTCTTAGTTTTTTATATATTCTAGATAGAAGAACTTTGTCTAAGTGACTATTAGTTAAGATTTTCCCCAAATTTGTGGATTGTCTATTCACTCTATTGGTGATTTCCTTTGATATGCAAAGACTTCTCAATAAGATGATGTTCTACTTGTTGATTCTTTGAAGTATTTCCCATTCGGTTTGATTTTTGTTCATGAGCTGTCTGCCTAACCCTATGTCTTCAAGATTTCCACCTATTTTGTCTTCCAGGAGATTTAATGTTTCAGTTTGAATGTTTAGATCCTTAATTCATTTTGACTTTAGGTTAGTGCATGGCGATAGACCCTGGTCTAATTTTAGTTTTTGGCATGTGGAGAGCCAGTCTTTCCAACACCATTTAATAAAGAGGCTATCTTTCTTCCACTGAACATGTTTAGCCCTTTTGTCAAAGGTAAGATAGCTGAGCATGTTTGTAGTTGTATCTGTATCTTCAAATCTGTTCCATTAATCCTCAAGTCTGTTTTTTTTTCTTTTTCTTTCTTTTTTTCTTTTCTTTTTTTTTTTGCCAGTACCATGCTGATTTTATCACAGCAGCTTTATAGTATAATTTCAGGTCAGGGATTGTAATGCCTCCTGCCTTGCCTTTGGTGCCAAAGATTACCTTTGTTATTCTATGTCTTTTCTGGTTCCAAATAAAGTTTAGAAATGTTTTCCCTAAATCTGTGAGGTATGTTCTTGGTATTTTCATAGGGATTGTATAGAATCTTTATAACAATTTTGGGAGCATGGCCATTTTCACAGTGTTGGTTTTTCCTATCCAGAAGCAAGAAATATCTTTCCATTTTCTGAAATCCTTTTTCGTTGTATGTTATGGGTCAGTGACAATTCTGACAATTGTTTTACAAAAGTATTATCAGAATGTTGCTGAGGAGACAGGATCTCGGAGGTAATATTACCATGATAAAATACACGTCTTTTTACATTTTCCCGTGGGAAATGAGTTTGATTCCATGGAATGGGAGTTGTACAGAATAAAGAGGTCTTTCAGTCACATTTCAATTGAAGTTGATGCTGTGGATTAACAATTTGATCTCCTAGCATAACAACAGCTTGCTCTGAATCATTTATCTTAGTATTTAACTCTCAATTTTTGTGTCCTTGTGAAGTCCATGAGTGTTTTGAGTCCTTGTGCCACTGCTGCACAAAATGAACAGTTTGTACACGTTGGCTCAATGCTTCTCCAGCTGCAGCAGCTGTGGCTGTGACGGCTATTATTCCAAAATTATGGCTATCATGAGTTCAATCATTTGTTTTGTTCTCTTCTTTAATACCTCTAGCAAATGTTGAAACACATCATGGAAGGGGAGTCTTGCCATGGGTGATGTAGTTGTACAGGAAGCCAAATTCTGGTTTTTGTCTCAAGAATATATATGCTATCCCTGGAAAATTAAAGCTAATAGAAGAATTTAGACATGTATATAAAGAACAATTGTGACACATGATGATACAGTTATAAGGGTTCCAGTAACTAAGTTCTACAAACAACAGATACAGGAGGTGAACACATGCCTGTGCAAAATGTATTGTATTCCTTTTATTTTTATTTATTTTTTAAAATCTGACTCTTTAAATTTTTTTAAAGGTTTTTTTACATTTTATTTATTTATTTATTTGTTTAAGTGTGTGTGTGTGTGTGTGTGTGTGTGTGTG